CCGGGGGGGGGGGGGGGCATGCAGGAGGCAGCCAATCAATGATTCTCTCTCATCATTGATGTGTCTATCTCTCCCTCTCTTTCCCTCTCACTTCCTCTCTGAAATCAATAAAAAGATATTTTTTAAAATCCAATGTTCCATTGCAACAAAAAGAATCAAGATACCTAGGAATAAACTTAACTAAGGAGGTAAAAGACCTGTACTCTGAAAACTACAGAACATTGAGAAAAAAAGAGAAGACATAAATAAATGGAAGAATATACCATGTTCTTGGTTTAGTAGAATCAACATCATTAAAATGTTCATACAACCCAAAGCAATCTATAGATTCAAAGCAATTCCCATTAAAATAACAACGGCATATTTCACAGACCTAGAACAAAATCTCCAAAAATTCATATGGAATGAAAAAAGACCCCGAATAGCCACAGCAATTCTGAGAAAGAAGAACAAAGTTGGAGGGAGCACAATACCAGATATCGAGCTATATTACAAAGCCACTATTCTCAAAACTGCCGGGTACTGACATAAGAACAGACATATACACCAATGGAACAGAACAGAGAACCCAGAAATCACTCCAAGCCATTATGCTCAATTAATATTTGACAAAGGAGGCAAGAGCATACAATGGAGTCAAGACAGTCTCTTCAATAAATGGTGTTGGGAAAATTGGAAAATGGATAAAGGACTTAAACGTAAGACAGGAAACCATAAAAATATTAAAAGAATCCACAGGGAGCAAAATATCAGACATATGTCATAACAATATCTTTATAGATATAGCTCCTAGGGCAATAGAAACTAAGGAGAAAATAAACAAATGGAACTACATCAAAATAAAAAGCTTCTGCACAACAAAAGAAACCATCAACAAAACAACAAGAAATCCCACTGCATGGGAGAACATATTTGCCAATGTTATCTCTGATAAGGGTTTAATCTCCAAAATGTACAAGGAACTCATACAATTTAACAAAAGGAAGATAAACAATCTAATCAAAAAATGGGCCAAGGACCTAAATAGACACTTTTCAAAAGAGGACATTCAGAAAGCCAAGAGACCTATGAAAACATGTTCAAAGTCACTAATCATCTGAGAAATGCAAATCAAAACAACAATGAGGTACCATCTCACACTTGTCAGAATGGCTATCATCAACAAATCAACAATCTATAAGTGCTGGAGTGGATGGGGAGAAAAAGGAACCCTTTTGCACTGCTGGTGGGAATGCAGACTGGTGCAGCCACTCTGAAAAACAGCATGGAGTTTCCTCAAAAAATTAAAAATGGAACTCCCATTTGACCCAGTAATTCCACTTCTAGGAATAATCCCAAAAAATCAGAAACACCAATCAGAAAGGATATATGTACCCCTATGTTCATAGCAGCACAATTCACCATAGCTAAGATTTGGAAACAGCCTTGGTGCCCATCAGCAGATGTGTGGATTAAAAAATGGGGTATATCTATACAGTGGAATACTACGTGCAGTAAAAAAGAAGCAACTTTTACCATTTGCAACATCATCGATGGACCTGGAGAGCATTATGCTAAGCGAAATAAGTTAGTCATATATAGATAAATATTACATGACCTCACTCATTTGTGGAATATAATGAACAACATAAACTGATGAACAAAAATAGATCCAGAGACATAGAAGCGTCAAACAGACTGTCCAACCTCAGAGGGAAGGCAGGGGAGGTGGGGGTGTAAGAGATCAACCAAAGTACTTGTATGCATGCATATAAGCACAATCCATGAACACAGATATTAGGGGGGTGAGAGCATGTGCTGGGGGGTGGGAATGGCTGGGGAGAGGTCAATGGGGGAAAAAGGAGACAGATGTAATATTTTAAGCAGTAAAGAATTTTTTTTAAAAAAATGAATCCCAAAACGCCAGTCAGAAAGAACATGTGCACCCCTTTGTTCACAGGAGCATTATCTACAATAGTTCTTATGTTTAAGTTGTATAAGTCATTTCTTTTGTGGCTTTATGTTTAGCTTTATGTCAGTTGTTTAAGAAAATTTTCCAGAAGATATTCTGGGGGAAACAGAGCTGCTTGAGACTAGGATCCTGGCCTCAGCACCACCCAGTCTGATCTCAGACACATACCAGGACCCTGCAGCCACTGGGGACAGAGACCTGTGACCACAGCTTCAGACCTGCAGACACCAGAAGATATTCTGTTATATTCAT